ATAGATAGATAGATAGATAGATAGATAGATAGATAGATAGCACATTAGCATAACACTTCACGTCAAGTACCAATTTGCACTGATTAAAAAGTAGAAATGAAAGTCTGTAGTTGACGGTGTGTATTTGAACTATTTATGAATTTCATGCCAACTACACGTTAAAGTGTGAATTCACGGTTATTTATCAAACAATTTGAATAAAACCTATAATATTCATAACACTTAACTTACGTAATATGTATATGCAATCTTCAACGTCAGATTTACCTCAGCGGGCGACAGAAAATAAATAAATAGAGTAACGGTAAACGTCCCACTTAAGATTTCCGCGGGAGGAAATTGATCGACGTCTTTCAAACGCGTTTTCCGTTGGAGCATTTCTGCTGGTGAGCTGAACTCACACTTACCTCTGCTGGCCGAGAGCGGAACTGCAGGATGATAAAATCAGTATAGTCTACACAACTATGTATTAGGCGAAAATAAAATAATTTACCTACTACATAATATTTTATTATTCACTAATTATATTAGTTCATTATTTTTTGCTAAAACGAAAGGTTTGGAAGTCTTCCCATTATATACATTCATTAAAAACGCATCTGTATTTTATCACAACAAAGGGCAACAATTTATTAAAAAATTATTTAACGAAATTCTGTGAGCTCTTGATGCATGGAATTGCATAACCAGATGAGCAAGTTGCATGCATTTTCCCTTATTTTTTAATTATTTTATTTTTCAAAACACAAAAAGTTTGCATAGAATAACTCTGGAATTCCTAAATTATTATCAGTTATTTAGATTTATTTATTTGGAGCCTATCGTCCAGCTTGCTTGCATCTTGAATGTCGCAGCATCCTCAGGCTTGTGCATGTGTAAGTGACGCCCATCAGAAGCGTCTTTACAGTGGGGTGTTAAATGCTGAATAGACGGTTTCTCACATTCAAAGTCAAGGTGACTGATTTCCTCCGGACACATTTTACTGCTCTCATAAACTCTTATGGCCCTGCTGCCGTCCTTTGTCAAAACTCCGGAGGTCATCAAACTCCGAAACAAGAGTGTAATGCAAAATTCCAGCGTTTTCTCGTTGACACTTTTTAGCACTGAAACACAAAACGCAACAGGAATGGAATCACAGAGATTTCGTAATAAATTCAGAGAAGGTTTATTTTGTCTATAGTCACCAGGCAGAGAAATCAATAAAGTGGTTGGATTACAAAAATAGCATAATTTCAATTGTGTGTCCATTTTATAATAAAAGGGACACATTTGGTGAGCTTTGGTGAGTCCATTCACCTTCCTCAGCTGTGTTAAGCTGCATAATAATGCATTCAAAACACAAAATATTGCATAAGTCTGTTGCCTATTCCTTAGGGAAAGGCAGATAAAATAGAGTATTTAGCATAAAAAGATTTACATGTATGTGTGACATAGTGAAAAAAGAAATTCGTGAAACAGAAGCAGAATTAATTTCTAAATAGTTTGCTGCAAATTGTCAGATTTAATTCTATGCAACAATTTACTTAAAGCGCGTCACCGCGCGTCACTCCCGGATAATCGAAAATGGGCAAAGAGGCGGGAGCAGGTTGCTGAAGCCCCGCCCACCTAGCTCGACAGTGGTGACAGCAACGGCAATCCACCTGTCACTCAAGTGGCCACGCCCTTAATTATGCAGAACTTTAAGGCTTAATATAATTTAAACGGATGAGTTATAAAAAAATTCACCCCCCTCACAGTTGTCATGAAGGGCAAAATTAGCTATTTAGACCAAAATCATTTTTTAACCAGGCTGTAAACATGTTTTTTTCTGCTGTAAAGTTGGGCATTTTAACATGGGGAGTCTATGGGATTGACTCCCTTTTGCAGCCAGCCTCTAGCGGCCAGTCGATGAATTACAGTTTAAGTCACTTCCTTGTTGGCTTCACGGGAGAGAGCGGGAGGTTGCCGCTTGGCTTTACAGATCCGTCAGAGTTAATATGGCATCTGAGTTTCACGTGCAAGATCATGCATTCTGAAAGTATCAGGATATTTAATGCACAAACCTTATCGACGTTCGCTCTGGTTTTGGCTGATGTTTCCACATACTGGACAGACCACTCGTCCGCTTTGGTCCGGGCCTCGTCCGCAGACAGCTGCCTCCTGTCCTCCAAATCAGACTTATTCCCCACCAATAACAGAGGGATTTTATCCTCCTCCGCTTTCACTCTCAGGATCTGCTCCCTGTGTGGACCAGCAGCACAAACACAATAATTACAACATGTAAGGCTGCACTTATTTGATTAAAAATACAGTAAAATCAGCAAAATTGTGTGATATTATTACAATTTAAAATAACTGGTTTCTATGTGAATGTATGTTAAACTGTAATTTATTTCTGTGATGCGCAGCTGAATTTTCAGCATCATTACTCAGTCTTCAGTGTCACATGATCTTCAGAAATCATTCTAATATGCTGATTTGCTGCTCAAGAAACATTTATGATTATTATTAATGTTGTGCTGCCCAGTATTTTATTTTTGTGGAAACCGTAATACACTTCCATTCTAATGTTTGGAGTGAGTACTATTAAAGAAAAATGCATTAAATTGATCAAAAGTGGCAATAACTATATTTATAAAGATTTCTATTTTTATTCATTAAAACAAATCTTGAAGAAAAAAAAATAAAATATTAAGCAGCAAAAACTGTTGTCAGCATCACTAATAAAATTAGTAATAATTGAGCACAAATCTTTTTTTTTTCACTTAAATTCCCAATAAAATATTTTAGAGCTAGAAAAATGTATATTCAATAAAAAGCTTCAATGAATTTTAAAGGTTTTATTAATTTCCACGACTTCTCCAAATCAGACTTTTAAAATTCCCTCATATATCCAAAAAGCTGTACATTTTCAACTTCTTTTTTATTTATTTTTTTGTGGCAGTATATTACAATATTGTAAACAATTATAAGAATTTCAAGAGATTCACTTTTTATTACCAATGAATTTACATGACTTATCTAGATGTTTGTAACTACAGTTTTTTTTAAATAAATTATTTACTCACAAATAGCTATTTCTGGCCAATAAAATATTTTCGAGCTTGACATAACTAGAAACAAAATGTTAATTGTAAAATTGTTCATAAAAAAAAAATCCATGATTTTTTTTTTTTTGTGATTTTATTGATTGCCATGACTTTTCCAGGTCTAGAAACCAGACATTTAAAATTCCCTTATATATCCAACAAAATATTTCTGGTCATTCTTCTGTAATGGCAAAGCTGTTAATTTTCAACTTTTTTATTTTCAGAAACTATGAGTGGCAAAAATATGAAATATTAAATGACTTTTAAATATTAAAATATTAAAGGGGTCATATGATGTTGCTAAAAAGAACTCTTCCCACACAGTGATGTAGACATGTGGGGGCGTGTTTAAACGAGGCGTTTTAGGAGGGCGTGGACAAGTCTTAACTTTTATAAAGAATATCTCTTTGGGTTTGAGACTTTAGTCTTTGCAACTTTAGGGATGTTATCGATGCACAAACAGCTTGTGACACTCCAAAGAGAAAGGAAAACTTGAAATCGCATCATTTGACCCCTTTAAATGACTTTTCTAGTCGTATGTCATTACAGGTATTTACTCACAAATAGCCATTGAGCTGACCTGAAGCCAAAGAGCTGACCTGAAGTCTGACGTGGCGCTGAAGGACTCGGGCTCTGTGATGGAGAAGACCAGAAGGAAACCCTCTCCACTGCGGAAGTAGTTGTCCCTGATGGCGGCGTAGTCTTCCTGCCCCGCCGTATCCAAAATATCAATCTGCACCTCCTCTCCATCCAGCACCACCTTCTTCCGGTAACTGTCGGCCTTCGTGGGTTCGTAGTCCTCCACAAACTGAGGCGAGCAAAGCAGATTACAAAGTATTGGTTAGAACAGTGATAATTCTTCCTATAGAATCAGTGTTGTTATTGTTAACTAAAACTAGTACCGTTTTATAAAACAGATAGTTCCGGTCCTTGATTCTGATTGGTTGAGCTGTAAATTACTCTACAAACATATTTATTTTATTTAGGTATTTATATATATATATATACATATATATATATATATATGTATATATATATATATAAATACCTAAATAAAATAAAATTTAAACATTTAAAAGTACCAAAATTACAAACACTGAAATAAAAAATAAATGAAAGCGGAACAGAAATATTAAAATAAAACATCAAATAAAGTTAAAAATTACAAACAATTACCAAAATTACAAAAACTAAAATAAAAAAATGAATGAAAGCTAAATAGAATTACAAAACAACTAACTGAACTAATTTAAAAAATAAATAAAAATAAATTAAAGCAGAACAGAAATATGAAAATAAAACAAAAAAAAACTAAATAAAATCAAATTTACAAATTTTAATATACCAAAATTACAAAAACTAAAATAAAAAATAAATTAAAGCGGAACATAAATATTAAAATAAAACAAACAAAAGAAAACTAAATAAAATAAAATTACAAAATTACAAAAAATTACCAAAATACAAAAACTAAAATAAAAAAATTAATGAAAGCTAAATAGAATTACAAAAAACTAACTGAACTAAACTAATTGTAGTAATTTGAATGGCTAAAATGACTAAAACTGAAATAAAAATACACTAAAGTTAAATAGAAATTTATATATAAAAATATAAAAAGTTTAAGTATTAAAATTACTAAAACTAAAGCTGAAATAACAATAAATTTAAACTAAATAGCAATATAAAAAATAAAAATAACAAAAGCACATAACAAAATTACTCAAATGAAAATGAGAAATGCTGCCTTGGCAACTAACTGAAATAAATTAAGTTGACACAAATAATACAAATAAAAATGCAATATAAAAAGTCAATAGCACAAACAAAATGACTAAAACTTAAAAATTAAATCAAAAATATTATTTAAAAAGTTAAATGCAAAAATGATTAAAACTACAATAATACAAAAATAACACTACATGGAACACAAAAAGATGCGACAGGTGTGTAAATGAAGGTATTTTGAAAGAACTATTCCTGGAGTATGATTTCTGCAGGAGCACGTGTGTCAGTGAGAGCGTGTTGAGCTCACCTCGTCATACATGAACTGCAGCGTCAGGGCTGATTTCCCCACGCCGCCGCTGCCCACCATGATCACCTTATGCAGAACCAGCGAACTCTGGGTTTTGCTCTTGTTTGCTGCCATGACTTTAGTGCTCCAGAAGAAGAAGCAGAACGAGACTGCAAACATGCAAAAGAAAAATCATCAATTTCAAAGAAACATACAGTGCCGTGAAATGGTTTTTGCCCCCTTCCTGTTTTTTTAATTTTTTGCATATTTGTCACACTTAAAAGTTTCAGATCATCAAACCAATTTTAATTTTTATTTTGTGAAACCTTACTACGTATATGGAATAACCGTTTTATAAAAGCAATAAGCCCCGTGAATTGCAAATGTAGATACATTTAGATTTATTTTATTTCAGTTTAAGTTTTGGTCATTTTAGTGAACATGAATTTTAAATAAAGTTTACTGAAATAAAAGTACTAAAACAACTAAAACTAAAATCAAAATAAATTAAAGCAGAACAGAAATATTTCAATAAAACAAAAAAACTAAATCAAATAAAATTAAAAAATTTAAATGTACCAAAATTACAAAAACTAAAATAAAAATAAATGAAACGGGAACAGAAATATATATATATATATATATATATATATATATATATATATATA